TGATTCAACTGAGTTTTCTGGAAGCCAAAGAAATCGCGTCGAAGTCATGAGGAAACGGCTGAAGTCTCATTTTATGACTCCTTACCAAAAGTACAAGCATCGCGGGAGAAAACCGTGGAAACTTTTGTTTCAACTTCTCAAGTTGATCATGGTTACAGTCCAGGTAAGCAAGCAAACCTCGATAAGTATCTCACTTAACTTAGGCTTAGTTTGTTTGCATTTCCAGGATAAGATTATCGAGAAGATTATCATGTTTTTTTCTACGATTTTCCTTGCTTTAAAATATGAGACAGGCTAGTACTGAAAAACTTGTAGTCGATTTTCAGTTTTATTGGACGTTTAATAAGTCCGTTACAACCAGCTACCTCAAAAAGCAACCAGCTAACCATCATGAACTTTAATTCCCCTTTAATTTTTTTTCGCGTGTATCTTCGCAAAGGTGTTGCAAGGTTAACAAACATTCTGTATTGGGAAATTGTCTTATTCAGAAAGTGAAACGATATGATGCTAGGGGAAAAACATTATAGATGCAAAAGGGAAGTCATTTCATTTCTTTTGTTTTCATGATATTAAAATTCTTCTTGGAGTTCCTAAACATTCTATAACTTATGTTATTTTTGGTGCATGTATCTATGTTATACTGTGAAGCATCAGAGAGTAGTTATCATTCTGCAAGAACAAAAAAAAATGTCTAGACATCCTCTTTGAGTTAAATTTGCAACAACTACGTAGATCACAAAGAAAAGGAGATTTTTCTTTGTGATAGCCTGGAAAATCTGTTTTAGCGCTGAATATTGTCCTGCCAACAAGAGTGTCTTAGGGCCTCTTCATAGGAGTCCAGTCAACCAGGCTGGCTCGGTTTCGGAGATCTCACCTCACCACTTTCCTTCGTAGAATTTTGATGTGTTCATATGAGAAGCTGGGCTGGCCTGGTTACCGGGATCTCGGTTTTTGTGACTGAGATCTTGATAACGGGGATGAAAATTTTCTCATATGATCACTCCAGCCTGGGTAACCGGGATGAAACTTTTAGACAAAATAGCTTCGCTTTGGCAACATAGCGGCCAAAATGGCATAATTTTTGTCTTGTATGTATTTCCACTTTAGAAGTATGCCAGTTAGCTTGGTTAGTAAAGCTACAAGAGTCCACAAAGCCACGATAGTTGCAAACGATACAAGTTTATGTTCCAATATTTTGGTTGTGTTTCTTAGATTTCATCCCTGTCGACCGGGCTGAAATTTTCCATATGAACAGACCACAAAATTTGTCCTGGTAACTGAGCCAGCCCAGTTACCGGGCTCATATGAAGAGACCATAAGATACAATTGCCCTTGATGGGCAGGGTGCAAAGAAAATCAATTTTCCAGCTTACCTTTTGGGCAAGACTTAACTAGAAATATGTACCAACCTGACAGTCATTTTCACTAACCTGATAAAAATTTTCCACAAGCACAGTTAACTCAAATTTTAACCCAAAATACATCACCTGCCCATCATACAAGAGAAGGATATGTAGAGTGCACTAACCTGCCCACAATGTCCACTAGGCTATCAGATGTGACTTTCTTTGCACACCAAAGGTGGGGTTTCTTTGTATAATAATGGTAATTTATAAATTCTACAGCAGCATATGGTAGTATTACCATTTATTCTATAACAAAATATTGCATTTATTAAATAAATTGGTGTAGGTAATCAAATGGTGACGAGTGAATTTATTTTAAAGAAATAATTTCAAGTGCCTTTTGTCAAAATTCTTAATATCCCGAGCCTCTTGGCAAGGGATTTAAATTATTAGAAACTTTGACAAAACGTAAGTGAAATTGTAAATTTTCTAATTTGATTACCTTTTAATATCTTGGGTGACAAATTAGCAAACATTTTCTTGAGTTTTTGACTTGTTTTCTTGTTTTGAGAAATTTCGTGCCAAACATTGCTATAACAATTTTGTAATTTCACATTTCAAATTATAAATAAACGCTGGAATTTCACACCAAAATTAAGGTGTAATTTGTCACCTATGATATTAGACTTTAGAAAACAGTCCTGAGAAAATACGCACGCTGATTGGTTAAAAATTATGTTTCTCTAACTCAAAAGAAACACAGAACTAGCATGAGCTGTTGACGTAATGATGGTGCAAGCAAAGGCAATTTACATTTTGATAATCAAAGTTAACAAGTTGGTTTCCTTTTTTTGTCGCAGTGTTTTCTAAAAGAAATAGAAAACATGTTCTTCATGTTTCTATCGAGTTATATTAGAAACACTCGTGAAAGTTTGGGAGAACTCAAAAAAGCTGTGGAAACACTCTCCTGCGGCGTGTGTTCCCACAGCATTTCTCGTTCTCCCAAACTTCCACTAGTGTTTCTATAACTTGATAGAGACATGGTACATGTTTTCTATTTCATAAATAAACCTCATTGTAGTGATTATCTTCTGCAAAATAATCTAGCTTGGACTATTAATTCTTTTGTACTATTTATTACCCATTTCTAGTTACTCCAGAGAATGTTAATCGATGACACTCCATCAAATGAATATCATGTAGTTGATGATCTTCACAATTCTCCTCACCTATCTGTTTATCACACTATACTGATATGGGAGGGAGAAATTAAATCTTAATCAGATATATTTTTTGTTTTAATTTGCAGATTTTCCTGTTTGCAACAGAGCTTTTCTCTGTTGTGAACTTTTTAGATGACAGTCAAGATGCATTCAACCATCTGTTTCTTCTCAATCCCAATGAGTCAGATTATTCTATTTACACAAAGAACCAGTTTTACTTCCAAGTGCAGCACTCTGTTGAGCAGGTTAGTCAATTAAAAAAAGCCTTACCTGTCACAAAGTGTAGTGAAAGGGGAGAAGGTAAGGGCAGCTCTGTCAGATAAGATAAAGGTAAAGTCTGCATATAAGCCAAGTGGCCCACNCCCCCCCCCCCCTGGATGGGATGCTAGTCCATCTCAGGGTTACCCCCCAATATTAAATTCACCAGTACCCATTTATACACCTGGGTGAAGAGAGACACTGTGAGAGTAAAATGTCTTGCCCAACAACACAACACAATGTCCCCAGCCAGGGCTCAATCCCGGATCACTCAATCCAGAGACGAGCACACTAACCATGAGGCTACCAAACCTCCCTTGATCTGTCAGATATGGGAAGGGGGGTGGGGGGTGGGGTGGGGAATGTTTATGCATAGCCCTGCTAACAGAACCTCTTGTTAATGATAATCCATTGCACTCATTACAGCTGTCCATGCTTGATGGGCCCTTGATGTTACAGGGAACTTACATGTACCTGTAGTTGATACAATTCATCCATAAATTAACAGGTGTGAAGATCAAGGCTACAGGCAAATCAAAAGTTAATGACAGCCCTGGTAAGGCTGACATTCTGTTTTGCCTTTGCAGTACTATGACATCCAAAACATAGCTGTTGGAACATTTGGCTTCCTTGAATCCGAAGACGGCATAAAACCTATGAATATGTGCATATATAAATACACCAACAGTTCTGTCGAGCCTGAAGATGAGTCGTATCATCTCACGCGACAGACAAACTATTGTATCCTTTTGAACAATTTCACATTTGTTTCTCAAGATGAGCTCATTCTCAACCCCAGAGCTGTTCTATTTGTGCGCAAAAATAGCTCTGAAGAACTCAACAAAATAGTGTGTACTGAGTGGTTTAAAATCCCCTGAAATAATTAATGGAAGGGTTTCATTCTCTATACCTCTTACTAACTGAGTTCGAGGGCCTTACTGTAAGTTATTGACTGAGTTGTTTCCCCATCGATTTATGGTCCAAGCGTGAAGCATGCGGGCCATAAGTCGAAGGGGAAAAACGAAGTAGGGACTGAGAAAACAAGGTTAGCAGGATATTTATTTTATTGCTACTGTGTGTCTGATGGGCCCAGGAACAATTTCTATTCACGCAGAACAGCTTCAAATTTCTGAAGCAGCTCAAAAGCAAAACAAGTCAATATGAAATTGTTGTTAAGTGACTCTTAAGTTGTTTGCAGGTTTTAATACACAATTTCAGAAATAAAAGACAGTTTTAAACTTTTACTCGCTAAAAAAGTTAAGAACACTTGGTGGTAAATCACAAAACATTTTAGCAACAAAAACAGCTTTAAATACAGCCCACTAAATTGGCCAATCACAGCATGTGTACTAACTGAGAGATATAATAAAAACTGTAAGTTCTTTTTAAAAGAAACCAATTGCCCAAAAATGGCTCACATTCAGGACCATCCCTACTAATATTATCGTGCCACCACTTAAGTCTTACAATTTTGTATCCAGCAGAAGAGGATGGGGATGTTGATTAATTTGAAACAGTTTTGGCTAATTTATATGTAAACAACGATTTGCAATGTGCTATAGAAAGAAAAGTTGAGCAATACACTGTACATGTAACTTGTCCCAGAGGGAGTCTATTTTCTGAACCATTGTTCTCTTTCATCGAGGAATGGAATAGTGTCAGTAATAGTTTGGGGTTAATAATTCATGTATATTGAAATTATACTAATTTATTTGTTATACTTTTGACACATTTTTTAATTATAAACTTGGCTTTTGTCTCAAATTTCAAGCTCAAGTTCAGATCTTTGCAGTCTTTGGCTGAAATAAAAAGCTATATTTATATGGTGAAAATCTAGCACCATCAATATTGTTTTGCACAAAACATGTGCGCAGCTGTGAAGCTCATAAGCCAGATTTTGCGCAGGATTGCACAGAGTTCCCCAGGGCCTCATGTCTTTTGGTAGTAAAGAAAGTGAAGGTCTCATGTCGAGAAGATTTACAGATGACTGTGAATCCTGATTGTAGCATTTGGTAGTTCAAAATTTAAAGATGATTTCCAGTCTGTACTGCTAAGTCTCAACACCCTAATGTTTATAAACAGTTTATAAATCTTACTCAATGGAATGCAAATCCATGTTATTAGTTACAAACCACATACAGGTACCTTATCTTTGGCGCCTTTCAATTCTTTCCAACAGCTTCACTGATTTTTACTGTTGCAAAGTTGTTTCATCAAGTGATATGAGAAAGAACGAAGTATAAAGCTTTGACTGCTTTGCATCCATAATGGCAGTTGTTTTGAAACTTTGAATTTACTTCATGTAAGTAGTTGCAAAATGTTTACATATTGTGATGTCTTACATGAAACATAACAAAAAACGCAAACAAACTCGCGAGAGTGCACAGTATGGACTGGAAATGATCTTTAAGTCACCACAGACTTTCAGTTTTTTTGTACTGGTATTCATACTGCAAATGGTAGATCAATGGCTTATGCTTTAATTTATCTTTTGTTATGATATTATTTCCTTTATTAATAAGTGTAGCTTGTCAACAGTTGCACAAAACAAATCACTCAGACAGAAACATCACTCACTTTGTCAAAAGAAACAAGATGCCAGAATCATTTGAAAGGTAGGTGGAATATTTTTGAGGCATAAAATGTACCTGTCCAGCAAAATTTAATTGTTGAACAATGAAGAGATGATCAAACTGGTTTTAACATGTTTCTTTATGCCCCATGTGCTGTGTAAAGGCCCAAAAACTGAATATGAAAATAACATTACGAGATGTGTCTAATTAAAATAGAGTGAGCACAGAGAAATGGCTTTGATCATGTTGTGATTTGCTGCGGCTTTCAACAACATGCAATCTCTGCTCAATAATGGTTTCGTGTTTAGCTGCCATCATTCATCTTTTAGCGGACTTCACAGTTCAAAAGGTCATTTCTGTTGGTTGTTTTCAATAACATTGTGCAACATCATTTTTCTGAGATACCAGCTGAGTCTTCAACCTGCCAGAAAAAAATTCTTCATTAATTATTATAATAAATAATTATTAATTAAATAATTTTTATATTCATTTTACAAATAGCTATAATAATATTGTTTTCTTTTTCAGCATAATAAGCATTATGCTAATGGCTGAAGTACGTTCTCTTCACGTTCGAACACCTCCGAGATTACCAGTTTGTTACAAGTTCAACGTCACTGTGAGTTTATTAATGAACACAGTAAACTATCTTCAATGTTTGAAAATGAGAGGTTCAGTTATAAGAAGGAATCCACCTGAACCTCAAGTAACGAGTGGACAAAAACTTTGTACCAAGATTGTTTGCATTGTATTGCAACTTCTGTGTGACTGTTTTAAATATCTTCCAAAAGAAATCATTTCTAAGAAATTTTGAAGTTCATAGAAAGCTCTTGAAAGTACTGGTGAAATGACACTGATGATGAAATTTTACCTGTGTTTGCACAATTTCTCTGAACTTTGAAATTTATTTCTCGAGTTCCTATGGAAAATTGTCTTTTGTGTTATTTCAGGCAATTATTTACATCTTTAGCTTTTAGAAAATGCGTAAAGGATTTTGATTATTCTGGTACCAGATTTTTTGTCAACTAAAAGTTAAAATTGCTTGATTTCCTATCAGATTTTTTCTTAATCACATTGTTGATATGTCTGAGAGGAGCAATAATTGCAATCGATTTAGAGGTTTACTGAAGGCAGTTTTAAGGCCTTTAGAAATGAGATCTGCCCCCCCCACCCCTTTGCAATAGAAAAATGCACAAGCTAAGCTCTGTACTTGAAACATTGAACAGTTTGTTGTCATTTTTTGTCAACCTCTAATTGGAACAAGTTTGCCAGACAGACAGTCCACAACAAGTCATTGAGTTCAAAGGAAATCAAGTGTGAGATGGTATTGCAGCCTTGATGTACCAGAACCAACACAAAATCCATTGTAGGATGAGCATTAAAAAAAGATTTGCATTGTTGAGCTCACGACTCAATGAAAACTCCTGTGTGTTAACATGATACCTATAGGTCTATATTGTGTGGATTGAATGTAACCTCTGCTAACCAGACATGTACTCAATTGTCCTAGACACTTGCAGCACTATACGGTCCAACCTCCACTAACTTGGCCACCTTAGGTTCTAAGAATTATACAATGGCCACCACTCTACAACCCAACCCTGCTACACTTTTTGTCCCAGTCAACTGTCCTTACATTCACTCTTATTTTAACCTCTCTACAACGGTCACCTCTCTACATGTATGGTCAGTTAACCAGTGACTGACGGAAAAGTCATCAAACTTGATCCGTAACGCACATCGTTGGTCTCTGTTTGTGGTTAGTTTCTTTTGTATTGATGTATCTTGATTGTGTAATGTACAGTTTATATGCTAAAATAACCATTTTTTTTAAGAAAAGAAATGTTGCACCCCGTAAAAAACAGGTGTCATGTTACACCCCTATGTCCCCATAACAGCCACCTCTCTTCAACAACCACTTTCCTCTGTCCCCATGGTGGCTGTGTTGGAGAGGTTCGTCTGTACTTTAAACCTCCAATAACCTGAGATCACCTCCAGACAGACACTTTTTTGGGTCTCTAGAATGTCTGCTGACATGACGGATTCAGCTGCCCTTGGTTTTTTAACAGCAGTTGATGTATATTTAATTCTTTTTTCATGCAGATACAGTTTGATAACAGTAATCATGATGGTAAGGTACCAGTCACTTTGAATGTGGATGGAGATGTTATGGACAACTGTGCTGGTAATTCAACAGTCAGCAAAGAAGGTAACGACATTTCTGTCTTTGAATTAGGTGGAGTATGCATGTGGTGTCGTCACTGCATTACACTTACATGTACCTGTAAACTTAGCCCATCTGCAGGGAGAGACACTGTTAGAGTTCCATTTCTTGTCCAAGTCTAAACACAAAATAATGATATTGGCAAAGCCTTGGGCATGGGCAATTAGACTAAACTTAAATCCAAATGGCTAATAGTCTTGGCGCTTAACTGCAGTCGGAGTATTGCTACTTTCTCTGAATAGAATGCTTGTCCAGTTCAGGTTACATCCAGGATTCTGTCAGGCTGCCCATACTGTGTCAGAGGAATTTAAATAATAATGCAACAATCACTGGTCATTTTGGATTTGTGTTTGTGGGAAATTCAGTCAGGGAAATCATGTGATTATTATGAAACCATCATTTTCAAAATTCAGCTCCATTTTCAAAATGTTTTCCACGGTCCACATCAATATGAAAAGCTTGGCATTTTCTTATTCCTCCAGTTTGAAGAGTATTTCAAAATGCTCCAGTTTTGGTCCGGTTTAGTATGGACTGTAGGCCTAACTCTAGCATCGTTTTCAAATTTCTCTTGGTGTAGTGTGGGCAGGGCCTAATTTCAAAGTGTCTTGACTAGGAATGCATCACAACGATCTTGTCCAAAGGGCGTCCTGATAGCAGTACTTCTACAACAGTTGTATCATATTACTGAAAATCAAATAATGTACTGAATGTTTGATCCAATAGGTTGCTTAATAAAATAATAAAAGAATATTTCACTTTATAGTGACATAGGTATTTACCTCAAATTTGAACAAAACCTGAATGGCAAAATTGTTGTTTATTGCAGATTACCAGGCATCCAAAACACTTCGTGTTTTTGTTGACATTATGACCATGCTGTTCTGCTTGATGTCTGTGACCCTATGCTCACGCTCAATCTTTCGGCAACTACAGCTTGTTAAGGTACTGAAGGAACTGCATGTATGATCAATAAATCTAGAATTTAGAGGCACAGTTAGTCATGGAAGGAAATGCCATATGTGCTAGCTGGAGGTTTTGCACCAAAGCTAGTTCCCACCCACAGAGTTTGCACCCGCATCAATTCAACTAGTGATCAAGTGCTTAAAATTTATCTTTCCCTTACCAAGCAAAAAAGACAACATTGTGGGCATGATGAAACAAAATCACACAAAACATGTTTATTTCTCGTTTTTAATCTAAGGCAAACTGGAATAGAAAGTTCATAATGAGTTCAGGGGTGAAAAGTGGATGGGTGCGAATTTGATTGGGTGCGAAACAGGTAACATCATGTTGTTCCAGAAAGTATCCATACCCCACCCACGAAAGGTTTTTTGGTTAAAACCCTCCCACCCCTCCGGAAATTCCAGTTTGGCTTCATGATTTTTTAAAAAAATTTTGGCTTTTGAAACCCCCTTCCCCTTCAGAGCTTCCGATAACTTTCCTTGGGGTGGGTATGGATATTTTCTGAAAATGCACATTCTTACTATGTGGGTCACCGATCAAGCATAATGTCATCTAGATGACTGGGTATTGCAGAAGNGTTACCGCAGTTGTGGGAAATATTCCTTTTCATAAGGGAAATGAATGAGCCTGTGATGGCAATTTGAGGCTAAGCTTTTCACAAATAATTATACCAATCGAGTTGTGCATGTCTTAAAAGTTTTAATCTAAATAGTTTCGTTCATATAAGTTAAAAATAATCTATATTTTTGGTCACGTTCTTATAGTAAACAGTCGTTGCTATGGCCGTTGCTACGTGAAAAAACTTATACCACTGTGCACTTTCCTTAAATTTCACACTCATCTGGAAGGAAATTCGGCAAGATCGTTTCAAAATGTTTTTGACAAGTCCTCAAGGGTCTTAAGTCTTGTATTTCCAAGAAATCGAATTCTTCATGAACATCGCCATATTATAGGGTACCATACCCCCTTAATTTAACCTCTCTACAACAGCCACCTCTCCACAACTGCAACGGCCATTAAAACTCGTCCTAACTGCCAAAATAATCTCTCGAGAACGGCCAGTTAATCAACGTCTGACGAACGGTGTATGCAAAACCCCATTTTGTTAGCATTTTTGCCAAAAAATGTTGCACCCCCGGAGAAAAAGTGGGGTCGTATTTCACCCCTACCTCCCCATGACGGCCACCTCTCTACAACGGCCACTTTCCTCTGTCCCAAGGTGGCTCTTGTTAAGAGGTTTGACCGTACTTACAAAAGGAAGAATGGAGACGGCTTAACACAGACATAACAAACAGCACGCACATACGGTGCCGTTTGATCGAGTGAGAATGGAAACCAGTACCCCACTCGGCCAAACTGGGGCAGGGTGTTACTGTAAAAAAGGAAAAGGGCGGTTTGGTAGGTGGGGAATTTCACAGCACGTATTTTATATATCTTCACGCTTGAAGGAAATCAAAAAATAAACACCACCTGCATAGCAAGGAAGGTCTAAAACAAAACATAAACGAAAGTGAAAACTTATCATTGTTTATTTCTCCACGTTTTCTACAACACCTGAAGTCTTCAACAACAATGGAATGGCAAAACACGCTTTGGTTTCAAAAGAAGGCAATTGACCTTTTGAAACCAGAGCAAATATTGCGTGGCAAATCAGGAAATGCAATCTTTTTTAATCGCAAAAAACTTTACTTTTTTTAATAAGTAGCCCGAGTTAATCTTAAACCGTTTGAGTTTTATGCCTCTTCAGTTTCACACAATGAGGCGCCACTCAGTTTTAACTATTTCTTTCGTTGATAAAGGTTTGAAGCAGTTCGTGATCCTATCTCTTGAGGCAAGCCCCCTCTCACGTACACAAATTACATTGCGCTACAACAATTCGTTTTATTCCAAATATTCCAAAGGAAATGAAAGAGTCATTTTGCAGGGCAGGATCATGTTGTACTCATTTTATTTTAGTGCCATATTTCAGTACCAGCTGAATAAGAAGAAGCAATGTTGTACCCAAAAGAAAAGTAATGCTTTTAAAAGCAAAAAATCGAGGAGTATCGAAATTAATTAATCTTCGAAACAAGATAGGCCCTGGGAATTAAACGAGGTTAAGTGTTGCGGTGTGGTGTGTCTAGACCATTTCAAAGCAGGTTTCTTACCACACACCCTCTTGACCACCTCGCCCTCTTTTCCAAAATAATGTGCTTCGATTAAAGCGTATTTCTATTCGCCATGCCGGATGTTTAGCACCCAAGATTTATTTTTGTCTTTCATATTGAAAACTGGTTGAACCAGGAAGCCCAATGACGGACGAATCCCATCAATCATTGCAGGTGTGTTCACATGGCTTTTGTCAGGAGCCGGTCCTACTTTGGTTTGTTTATTTATTTTATGCTTTGCTTGTTTGTTTTGTTTGTTTATTTTATGCTTTGTTTGTTTGTTTTGTTTGTTTATTGCTTTTGCATGCATTCGATAAAAAACCACAAACAGTGGTCTTCCGCACTATCAAGTCAGTCCATACTTTGGAGACAACTAATCCATGTTTGTAAACCACAAGCCATCGAGGGATGTGAGTTACGTAGATCCATAGGCGTCAATTTCACCCTTCCCGGGAAAGCTGAGCAATCCACACCTGTCGTAGAAGGGCCGTGTTGTTCGATAGCTGGTCAACACTAAGCCAGGATTAAAAGTTAACCGAAGTATAAAACTTGTATAAAAGTGTTTTTCACTGCTTATGTTTTTGTGTAATTTGAGATTATTCAACTCAAAACCAAAGGCCAAAGCAAACAATATAAATAGTAAACCTAATCGCAGTTACTAGCACAAAAACTCAAATCAAAATTCTCGCTAATCCTGGGTTACCTAAATCGGGCTTCGAGAAAGCTTGCGTTTGTAGCTCTTCACCATTGTACTGCAAGGAATCAGCCCAACAGCGTAAAATGACCACAATAAAATATTCTGTAGCTCATTTGCACCGGCTTTTATATGTAAGACCTCCTGTGCAACAATGAGGTTATTGGATGAAAGAGTCTCGGTCTTTGAGCAGTGAACCTGTCACTTAGCATTTCTCGATATTTATCACCGTTATTGCCTTCTAGCTGCCTTGAATGTCCACGCATGAACATTTTCACATATGTAATGGGAAAAGTACTCGGAAAAGTACTTCAGCACTGTGCCAACGTGGGATAAACGGAGCAAGAAAACGCCGGAAAACGTGTTTAGGTGGAGTAACTATTTTTAAAGTTCAAATTACAGCCTAAGGCGGTAACAGTCTGTGCGCATTGTTTATATTCAACAGCACGCTCACGGTTGATAGAGGTGAATTCGAGAAGTTACAACTCGGAAAGTAATTTGAAACTTTTTACGTCTTCTGAGAATCTCCCCTCTTGCTACCGGGATGACGACATCTCTAGAACTTTCGGCACCTCGATAGCCGTGTGGGCAGACATAGCGCTGACAAAGCGGTATTGTATTTCACCAATCAGTGACGAGTGACAAAGCCGACTTGAATTGCACCAATCACTATTGTTCTATAATTAACCGAGTTGAGCCTTCTTTATGTGATCAATCGTGCGTTGCCTTGAATCTTAGTTACTAGTATTGCGGCTAGCAAAGGAATGATTATGTCGGATATTCAAGGTAAGAACTGTTCTACAGCCTTTGTATATTCGAGATGGAAGACTCCATGGCATCTCTTGCAAGGTTTGAAGTTCACATTTAGCCTGTGTTGTCGTGACACTGTGGTGTGATGGAATTCAAGAGTGGTCGAACTGAATGATCGTTTCTTGTGTTCATATACGCATTGTAGTGTTCGTTTTAATCGCTTCAGAATGTTCCATATCATCTGTCAACAATTCGAACTCGTAAAGAACACACATGTTCGTCCATGGAAGTTTAATGTGAAACACAGCGGTACAACGAACGTTTTGTAATCTCCCGTGTGAAATCTTTGTAACAAAGAGTGGTTTGCCAAATTCTACTTAAAATGGCGTTCCGTGTTTGACGACGAAAAAATTATATTCGCTCTTAAACCGTCGAATTTGGAAGCACAGGTTTGATTACAATCGTTTGAAATACTTCATATGTTTACACAGAAGCCGTTATGAGCTGGGTTCTCTCTCCTTCGATTGTGTACTTAGGCTGCCATATGCTTTGTTTTAATTGATTTCATTTCGTATTCTGTATGCAATCATTGTTTTCAAGGTATTAACTAATGTACGTCATTTAGTGGTTAAATAACTTATAATTGTACCGTGGAAGAAATTTTATAAACCAGATTTGTGTTTGAGTTCGGGAAAGACGGGAAGCTTCGGCTTGGTAAGGCTATTAACTTCAGGTTATAAATAATGTTGAATTAGCACTAGTGTGGTTCATTAAGAAGAATTTAGATGCAAATTACTCGTAGAACATCAATAATAGTCAGATTGAAGTCATATAAATCATGGCCGATTCGGGTCAAAAACTACATTGAATAGAAACAAACCAAGGTCGTGTATTCGCTGACGACTTTGGTCAGCGCTTGTTATATGATTAGTTGACTGACTGGTTTTGACTCTGTTGAAATTCTTTGTGTGATAACGACTAATAGCCAGTAATAGGATACAAGGGCAGGGCAGAATCCTTGGCTTTTTTACAGTTGCAGAATTCTTTAATAAGTATGCGAACGAGTATTAGCCGTCGGACCTTGTTGATGTACAATTCGGTCAAGACTTCTCGCCATTACTGTTTACTACCAAGTCAAAAGAACAGAAAAACCGCTCAAGTACGTCACTTCCGGTAGCAGTAAATGAAAAGTTCTAAAATATTCAGATGCAGAGGTTTATGATTTTGTAAGCGATGTCTAGACAGGAATGTTTGAATAAGTTTCTTAGTATAACCTCGGGGCAAGTTCTTCAAATATCTGTGGAGTTCAAACTTCCGAGTGCTTCATACAAACGCCGGCTCATTAGCGAAAATCAAAGATTTTCAGAATCATGAGATTTGAAAGAGAACCGCTCTTTAGCGGAATCGAAACAGCCGAGTGAGCATAAAAATATCTTCAGAGATTTCTGAGCAATAAAAAGTTCTTACTTTGGTTGGTATCCGACCTTAGTAATTTGAAGTGTTAACTTCCTAGCTTGTGAAGAGATTAACGATGACTGAATTACGAGGAAAAAGCCTTATGTCACGTTCGCTTTTCGCGCAACTGGTGATCCATGACTGCAGGAGAGGATTCGGAAGGGTGTGAAATGCTTTCGCGCCTTGCTTTTACATGTAAAATGTGTGGGTGATCAATTATTTTCTGGTAGTCAGCACAGCTGTACCTCGTGCATCTCCTACTGTACTGTCGTGATTTCAAACAGGTATTTTTCACTTGTCTTTCATATAGGTTAATTGAGACTCATTTAGGAGACAGGGTGGTTTCATATCTCAACTATATTCCGGCCAGGGCTTGTAGATTGTTTGTATAGCGGAAAAACTGACGAACCGACCAGAATATATACTTACGTCAGAAAATATCGTATTCAGAAACCACCGGCGATGACTGTATTGGTTTTCATGAAATCAGTGCTAATTCAAGGTCGATTTTCACTGTCCTGTAATTTATGTTTTATGTATGTAAAATAATAAAATTTAGAGAAAAAAGCGAAGGAAGGTTTGGTCTACGAAATAGTTTCAACGGAAGCAAGCTGTTCACACAAGTGTTTCGTTCTATTTTACTAAACGGACGTAAATCTTGGGACAGAAAGAAATTAATTAAAAGCATTGTCTATCGCCGACGAATTGGGTTGAATGCAACACTTCTTCTATTTTGTTTTCTTTTTGTTTGGAACGAACCCATTGTAGTTCCAGGATTTAAACACTCCCGTTGACAACAAAGCCGTCTTGTCGGCGATTTTCGTCTTAAAGATTTGATGGCAAAAATATCACAGGAGATTGGCAAGATTCGATATTAAGCTGCTTTAATACTTTAAAATGTGAGCGATTGAAATTGCGAGACTTAACCAGTCTTATCAGTACAAAAAGTAGAGTATAAAGTGTCGATATTCTCCTGATGTAAGTCGATGAATATTATCATCACCTGTGTTGCGATGATGCGCGGAGAAGTTTGTTAGTGCTTAAAAATTTTCTGATTTGCATTAGCAAGTGCAGTTTTCTGCCGTTGTGCACTTAACGTTTAGCAAGTGCACGCGATGATATGGCGAAAGAAACCATGGAGATTATCATGTTTTGTTCAGTAAAATCATTCAAGAGATTTATAAACAAAATAGAAGGGAAGGCTGATTGGAGCGAAAAGTAGATGCCTTAGGTGATTCTAGAAGACAAGAGTATCTTGCGGTTTGTTTTACTTTCCATTCCACCTCTTGAAAGCACAGTTATTTATGTTGATAGACCGTGTCACAAGATCTAATATTTTTGGCAGTGTCGTATACAAAGGATTACTCACGGTGATTTATGCTTATGCGCTTATAGAACGAATTACAGGGACAAATTAAACCTTAGATTGAGTATGCTCTCTGTTTAAATTTGTTTTCAGTGCCATGAGAGACGGTTGACAAATTAAAACGAAAGCAAGCAGCGCGCAAACCATGTCGTCTTCGTCGCAGGGTACTTTCAGAAGCCGGAGTAAGACTCTGCCTCTACCAGCCAGGGCGAAGGTCGAGAAAAACATTGCACAGGAATCGAAATCAAGGTCGCCTCTCCCCTTCAGAAGGTTAGTAATCAGACTCATTGGTGTGTTGTAGAGTGCAGGCTTCTTTTGCTTCGTAGATCCTTGTGCGAGTAGAGCAAAACGGGAAGAGAGTAAGAGGGCCGCTCGCCCTTGCTCTCATCTCGCGCGTTTACTGCTACTCGCAGCTGGCGATTTAATTTGTATGTTCTGCTCCAAATAGTACTAGTGTTATCGTTGTTGTTTAACGTTGTTTGGAGACCCCATTGTTATGACTTGTAAACCGCAGCCCCAAGGCCAGAGGCCTTGTTTAGTTGAGTGCTGGACAAAGCAATAACATGAAACTAGTAATAGATACGTTTAGCAAGAGACGAGGAAATGCGACAGATTTAAAAATAAGCGCTGTAAGGCAATTAAAGGTTTCGCTGAAATGTGTAAACAGCACTTTGTTTGAAATATTTCTTTTACTTTCTCTCTTGACCTTCTCAGTTGCCTTCCTTTGTGGAACAAACAGAACACTTAAGAGATATTCCCGCCCACCTTGATGTTGTACATGTTTATAACTTGTAAACCACAGACCAAAGGTCTTGTTTATTTTACTGAAGGACAAAGTCGTATAGACATAAAGCTCTATTCCTAAAGTTCGCAATATTACTTTTGGTCTACTTGGGTTCACCGCGCATCTGTTTGCGTTGTGTGACACTCAACTCATTGCCAACGTCTGTTTCTGAAATGACGTGCTTGCTTTTACTTTACAGATTGGCAGATTTGTTGAAAAGGAAAAAAAAGCGTGGAAAAGGAGATGCGGATTCATTGAACTCCTTGCCATTAGAAAGACAATCGTGGTATCATGGCAAAATCACCGCAGACTTTGCGGAGCGTTACCTGCGCCGTGATGGCAACTTTTTGGTTCGTGAGGATCCAGCCAAGCCTGGAAGCTGCTTCATTGTGGTGCGACACAAACGGTCGCCTCTTCACATACCTTTATGCAAGGTCAACTCGTCGAAAGGAACGAGAATTAAGTATAGACTGGAAGATTCCGACAACAGTTTTGATTCCATAGCTGAATTAATCAACTATCATATCACCCAAAAGAAACCATTATCAAATACTTCAGCCATTATCACCCACGCCGTCAGTAGAGACGCAACTCTGTTATCTGCTGACGATTTGAAAAGTCTTAATGCAAATCAGCAAAATAGATATGTCTCCAATACTGGCCCTTCCAATCTTTGTCCACCGAAACCACCCGGGACTGGGCCTTTGCGACAAAAGAACATCGACAAGATGGGCCGCAAGAACAGTGACCCAGGGTTGCATCTTGAGATTAATCACAATGGAAATAAAAGTCGACATTTTACGGTCGGCTCCTTGGAGAAAAGTGGTCTTCCTTTATCGCCTGAAAATCTACCATGGACAGTTCAATCGAAACAACGTGAGAAAATTCCAGAAGCGTTCCTTGCAAAGTCCACTAAAGAGGAAAATATTTCAGAAAGGTTCTACGAAACGACACTGGGAGAAAACGAAAAGGAGAATGAAAAGGACGTTTTTGAAGACCTAGATCATTTTTATGAGGATCCTAACAAGAAGGACAATTTGGGCACCTATTATGACAAACCAAGTGAAAATGAAAGTGCTTCGATGTCAATTGATGAAGGGAATAGAAAGGGAAACTGTGTGAAACAAAACGAGGGGGAGAACGTTGATAGCTGTTACGACAAACCCGTTGAAGACTGTTGTAATGGAGATTTCTACGATACGCCGTCAACTGTGGAAAATTCTGTAGAATTTTATGACAAACCGTCTAAGCAATTCAGCCTAGCTAGCCTGTCTGATAACAACACAGAGGGCCGGGAGAATCTTCTTTATGACCAGCCAAGAGGAAGCAGCGATGGTTTGTATGACAGACCCAAGGGAAGCGACGAAAACGTTTACGACAAACCCCCAGCTAAGCCGAAAAGAATGGAATCATTTCGTAACTCGGATCCAACAGTGTCCGAGAAAGTCAACAAGCTCCGTCCTCAATTGAAGACAAGATCCAGCGCGCCTGCATTGCGAACTTTCACAGGGCTGCCTTCGGGTGGCCGCTCAGAGTCACGTTTTAACGCTCTCCCAGAGAAAAGGCATTCAGGTGCTGAGCTATTGATGAGGCATGCAACGTCTGGCGCGATGGCGTCTGATGGGATAAACGCAGAGGCGGACGCCTGCTACGATACTCCTCCATCAAGATCAAACAACAGTCCATCCTCGTCTGGATCTGACTTTGGCTCGCTTGCAAACCAAGAGATATACGACGTACCAACAGACTTAGGTTCCTCATCAGAGCAGGTGCTGTCCTCAAATTCAACCTCCGACATCAGTGATAAGACTCAGAATACTAAGGATAAAGAAGACAAGTCCCCGCGCATGCCCATGGATAAAAAGGGAATATTTTTAAATGTGATGAAGAAAATAGGCGAAAAACTGCTTTTGCCGTTTTTGGAGAGCGATTGCCTCAGCCTTGCTAGACATATGACTCGTGTGGATCTCGTATTTCAGTGGGGCGAGGAACCGCATCGCCAATCTTGGTCCATCGAGGATGGTACTGGAGGAGCCAAAGGACTGGAGCTTCTTACGCTCCCTCAAGGAAGGGACAAAAGGGCCCAGTTACTGGCAAGGTCAGCCTTCACTGTATTTTAGTAAAGCTTTTTCTAAAATGTGTATTTCTTATTGCTGTCTCATTGACACTCAATTTCGAACCTGAACATGGAAAGCTCCAAATTGCAAAATTCTCACCTGTCCTGATGAAAACGTGTGGTTCTTACCCTTAGTAATGATTAGAATCAATCAATCAATCAATCAATCAATCCAATCAACCAATCAATCCAATCAATCCAATCAATCCAATCCAATCAATCAATCAGTCAATCAATCAGTCAGTCAATCAATCAATCAATCAATCGACTAATCATGTTTTTTAGTTACAGTGGTCAGTCTTGAATGTGTACATTTTATTATTTACCTGACTTTCAGGTAGGCGTAAACGGGGAATGGGCAGGGAGGCAAAAAACCGCCCCCTCCTTCTATCCCTGCTCTCGCTCTCCCTTCCCCTCTCCCCCGTTTTACGACATTATTCCTGCTCTAGCTCTCCCTCCCCCTCTCCCCCGTTTTACGCCTGGCACATGCTACTGTTTTACTTACTACTAATACAAGTGCGTAAAAGAGCGTTATAATAATTCGTAAAGGCCATTCCGTCTACGACAACTTAATGAACAACCTTTCCTTTGTAGATTTGCTAACGTGACACACTGGGTGGCGACCTTGGTTGTGGCAGCGGGTGACCTTGGTACCAGAGGTAAAGTGCTCAGTAAGCTGATAGAGCTTGCTGACGTACTGAGCGATAAACTTGGCAATCTCGTTTCCTTCATGGCTATCATGGAAGGACTTGCCTTACCACAGGTATTGCTTTATTTTGGTTTTGGTAGTTCTTGTTACTCTTCTATTCCTTGGGCAACAGTAAACTGAAACTTGCTGGGATTGAACCAAAGCTAGAAGAAAAGAAATATTTAAATTAACAAGAAAAAGTTAGTTCGATCAATTTAATTAATTCAATTTAATCCAATTTAAATTGTTTATATACACTCTTTGGATTCCTCCGATTTTTTGGTTAAAAAGTGAATACCACAATTTTCCAAGCTCAGAAAATTACTGTTGGTCGTTAGATTTGGAAATCGTCTATATAAGACACCTTAGAAATAACCATGCCTGTGTCCCCAACTTCTGCCTAGATTATGTACGTTTCTTTGTGCACGCGACTGAAATGTGGTTCCTCTCTCGTTAGGTAACACGGCTTCACCACACGTGGTCATGCCTCCATCACCAGAGCTGCTCCACAGCAATACTCTACCACAGCACCCTCAAGCCATTAGCTGGGCTCTTAAGCTCGGGGGCCCCTAGCCCTTTTCCCGGAGTGTGCTTACCTTACATCATTCCCTTGGTAAGATACATGGAGATGACCCCAGATGAAATTCTCAACGACTGGGCACACGCTGAGGTGGACCTCGGATTAGACACCATTATAGCCCACTTGGACTCTGGGCGCACTCTCACACAACAACTTGACGAGTTCCGTCGGGAGGCTGTTGCTCGGCTTCAGACTGACGAGTACATCGTGGATTGTAAGCTCTTGGAGTATTTTCGAGAAAGGTTAAATGTGGGGAATGTGTTAGGGCTTGGCCCTGATCCAACAAACAAGACAAACAAATTAAGAACCTTGCTACAATGGCTTTCGGAAAATGCAGAACATTCTACAAGTACCGAAACCTCAGGAGCTGTATAGAGAAACGGACTTCAAACGCACACAAACACGAATAAAATACTTAGAGTGATCCGTATAACCGATTTTAAAAATGATTTCCAGTCCGTACTGCGAAGTCTCGGCACCCTAATGTTTATAAACATGCAAAACCTCACTCGATAGAATGCGAATCGATGTTATTCGTTACGAACCACATACCTTATCTTTGAGACCTTTCAAATTCTTTTTCCAACTGCTTCATTCATTTTTGCAGCTGCAAAGTTGTTTCATCAAGTTTTATGAGAAAGAACAAAACAAAGCTTCGGGTCGCTTCGCGTCCATAATAGCGGTTGACATGAAACTTTGAATTTACTTCATGTAAGTAGTTGCGAAATGTTGACATTTTGTGACGTCATGCATGAAACAAAACAAAGTACGTAAACAAACTCTCGAGAGTACGCAGTATGGACTGGAAATCATCTTTAAACCATCGTAACCGTGTCATTCCCAAGCCCAAAAGATATCTGATTTCCCTTTTGTTAAAGGATCTCTTTCACGATATTTTGAGTTATTTTGGTCTCACGTACAACATCACCTTTGGATTGAAGGAAACCTGAAAATAGTTATTTACAAAGATAGAAAAACACCAAAGACATAATAATAAACCATAAAAGAAAAAGGATGGCTGAGGATGGAAAAGATTGACATGGATTACAAACGACGAACTTGAAAAATTTAGGGTTAACTTTTTAACATACGCAAGCCGTGTCGTAGCTCCTTTAGATCATCGATCAGTCGATCAAGACAGCACGACGCAGTTGATGATTGTCTTTATTCTCATTACCTGTCACCTTGACACTATTGATGTTTAAGGAGAAAATAGACTATGATCGCTTGGGAATGTTATGGTTATGTGCGTCCACATTATCCAGTTTTAGGAAATTTTCTTAAGTTTAAATCAATTTTTCAGTCGTTTATTCGCCAGATCTCCAGCCTTTAATTTTTGGTATCTTTTAGACGGTGGTTGTTTTGTTAGGTCTGGTAGTCTGACAAGTCTTTTGTACTGTAAATAACTGGATTTAAATAGTGAAGAACGCTGTAATACAAGTACAGCGCATTTTAATTCTTTTGACCATCGTTCGTTCGGTGTCACAGTTAATTAAGAATGAGTGTATATTTTTAGTCAAAGTTTAGTGGTAACAGTTATTTAACCACGATATAACGAAGACTTCATTTTGTCGACTTGTCGTCAGAGTGCTGGGTTCGACTTCGAGCCTTGTACGCCAGGCAGGTCGTTTAATCGTTTCATTAGCGTCGTAGATAAATTGTTCAAAGTGTTTTAGGTCGACTATAGCACGGAATGTAAAGCAAATAATGTCTTAATGTTGCGAACGCGAAAGTGTTGTACACATTTAGTTTTCAAAATGCTTGTAAATATTTGCTGTATCTGTATAGACTGAAAAGTAAATTAAAGAGCGATTTAAGTTAATAGTTTCTAGACTGACATTAAATTGGAAAGTTTCCAGCAATACGCAACAATTCAGAACCATTGGTATCGAAAATGACCAAGATTTCATTTAGAACAGTGTGTTTAACCAGTGCCCTCTGCCACAGTGTCTACTGAACTAATTAGAAAGTTTAATTTCCATGTCTACGCAGTTTTACACAAATTCAGTTGTCCCCTTTTGTCCCAAAGTCCAACCTGAAGTCGATTCATTTAGGATTTTCACTTTTTAACTAGAAAATACCATGGCTATTTTTCAAGTTGTAGATAAAGGAGGCGAAATTCAATTCTTCGCTTCTTCCTTCCTAACGTTTTGTGAATCCGCTGACAAATGTGTTAAGCTTTCGCAGTCTCTTGCGAACTGAAGTCGCACCCAAGAGAGGTTGAAGTTGTTGAGGTGGAGGTGAAACGATTTCCTCGCCGAGATAAGTAACTCAATATCTGACCACAGAAATAATCTTCGTTAAAAAGATTTTCACATTAACTTCTCTATAAAGTATAAATACAAAAGAACTAATAGGGCATTTCTAGGAGTCTGCTTAATAGAGGTTTGACTGCACTCGACTGGGCGGAAAAGAAGACAATGAAATTTTTAAAATTGGCGAGTTGCATGAATTTTCCAATGATTAAAAACTTGATCAAGATTTTTAAGGCCGGAAACGGATCGCAGAATTGAGGAGAATTCGAACGCCGCTATTATTATGGTACTTTAAATAGCAAAATGATATGAACAAATGCGTTGATGAAAAGAAAACAACAAGAAAAGACATTGCGCTCACTCTTGGAAAAAGAAGAACAAAAAGCGATCCCATTAAATATCACAACACCGACATGACGGGGTATTTTTAATGGTCACCCATCCAAGCACTAGCTCTGCGAACAGGGCTTGACTTTGCTGATCGGAAAACACTCTTTGCGTGTAAGGTACATATACCTGACTTGATCAATGTTTTCAAGAACAGCACATCATTTTATTTCCAAGATCTCTGAAAAGATAAGACAGGAAAAAATATAATCGAAGCCCACCCCCGGCCTGATTGTTAAAGCTTACACTAATGAAGGAGCAGTTTTAGACTCCCATGAAAAATATACAATCTTCAAAATTCAGTGATGGAGCGTTTAAACTATCCTTTGACACACGAGGCAATGAAATTAGCTAAGACGAAGACGAAGAAGCCGTCAGAAAGTAAATGCAAGGGGAAGAATTTCATTAATATTGGCAAAGAAAATGAAGAACCAGACCGAAGAAAGAAAGAAAATGAGACACCACAAATGCGTGGATATCCTTACTTGGTCGCGTATCAAAACACTAAACCTAAAACACGCATCCAACCTGCAAAACTCTGATGATCGGACAGGCAATAAAATAGCCATGATACCTCAATTAAAGATGGCGTAGATAGTCGGTGTTTACCCCTCCCGTCATAGCTTAGCTTTGGTGCTGGGACTTGAAGCGGCACTTTCCTAGTGGTAACATTTCAGACAAGGATAACTTTTTGATGAAGTTTTCGTATTCTGTTACCGTTGTGTTCTGCGCTATTAATTTCTTCACAATGCCAGCGAGTTTAAACTAACTTTTCTCCTCTCTAGAACTCAGTGCAGTGACCTCGAAATTGTGACTGTTTATAGCTGATTTATTTTCCAATCTCAACGGCTCATAGCCACTTTGATTACGCCTGGGATGAGACCCTAGCGTGTTTAATAAAACGAAATCCAGTGAGCGTTATTACAACATTCATGTGGTGCTTTTCATAATGAAGTACATGTGGTGATTCCTATGTCGAGACGATGAAACCCATTCATATCAAAGCTTTTGAGTAGTACTTTCATGTGGTGATGTTTATTCTGCTGTTAAACTTAATTCTAACTTTTAGGTCTGTGGATGAAAACCTAGTGTGTACCATTGATACATAAACTGTTGAGTAGAACTTTCACACTGTACCGTTTGTTATGCTGCCGACGATCATCAAATGAAATATCGAGCACTACTTTCATGTGGAGCTGTTTGTTGGGGTGCACGAGCGATAGTTTTTATCTTAAAACTGTCAGAGGACGAAATCCAAGTGTTCGTTTGTGTGACCATTCAAATGAAACCTGTTTAGCAGTACTTGATGAAATCTTGAACTAATTGGCGCACGGGGCATGTAAGCCTTCCGTGTATGGAGAAAACATGTAGTATGTTTTATTTTCCGAAATGAAATTTTTAGATTCAAATCGTCTTTATTCGTATCCTTCAATGTCTTAAACAGGGTAAATGCTTAGCAGACAATTTTGGTCTAATAACGACGACATTATCTCCTTAAAATTATCAATTCTAAGACTGTATTGCGGATATAAAAGGTAAACTGGTTTTCAAATGGCAGGTGCAATTGTTAGAGAAAAGCTTTACACGACACCTTCCACAAAGCGAAATTAAGATCCTACCCTTTTATAGATAATTAAAGTGTTAAGGGGTAAAGATGACATCTTTATTCTTCTTTTTCAACCGTGAAAATCTACAGACTAACAGGCCTAAAGTGAAGCACCGTTTATCTACAGACTCTAACGCTAGAGCCACATATCTCGATTGGAGATGAAAAGGTTAAGGTACAAAGAGCACAGTGGACATTTCCAAGCACTTCCAATAAATGATGTTAGCCGCAAGCTTGCCCTCTAAAAATCGTCCTTCTCTTTTAGCTTAGCCCCCATAACAACTACAGGATAAAAACCCTTCTTCATGTTAAGCTTCGCTATCAAGCTTAAACAGAGTAAACAATCGATGCAGATGTTCTTTGACAGAGTTTAGATTGTAATATTATAACGAAAGGTGGTGACTCCATAGCTTGACGGTTTACAAATGGCGTTCCATTCAGCAGTGATTGTCAATGCACCTCAGCTGGGCGGGACAGCCGTCAAATATCAAGAGTGAACGTCAGAGTTCGGAATAAAAGGCACATGCTAATTGAAAGTTTCTACAGTCCGATATTTGAATGAAAGTTAGAAACTTCATAGCTGCACTTAGGCTTGTCAAATGGCGTGTCCATTTAGTAGCACTTGTCACTATTCCTCTGAATAGCACAAGTGACCGTACCTGACTTGAATTACACAGAGTTGCACGTGCTTCCATCATAGCAGCTCATGATAGCTTTTTTAACATCACGCATATGAAAGTAGCTGAGAGAAATTTACCCGCTAAACGTCCCCGCACACGACGAACATTGTTGCGGAAATTTTCTTTCCAAGCTATGTTTCGCTGTTTGCGCGCACGTTTAGTTGCGGACGCAAATTTTATTTCTATTTGAAAAAAAGTTTCTGAATTTTCCGAAACATTTCGCTTTCGTAGCAGGTACTTCTCCGTTTCTCGCGCCACAAGGTAACAATTTTGGAAAGCAATGTTCTCGCAATAATGCTTCCTCGTTTGTGGAGTCCTTTAAGGTTGGTATTCTCAGCGACAGCTAATTTTAGCGATTTGGGTTTCCAAAATTTAGCGACCTTTAATTCAAGCGATTTCCTCTGTTTCTAGATTGACTACAGTGCCGATTTCAGCCGAAACGGTTGAGTGATTTGAAATCTTGCTAGCATTTAAATAGAGAGTTTTGACCAGTTTTGACGAAATCGCTAGATTCGCTAAATGAAGCTGTCACCAAAACTGACAAGTAACTGTAAGGTATAACGAGAAAGCTAAAGCCGAATTCTTATCGGTAATGAACTAATATTGACTCATACCAGGCCGACGTTTATTTCTTTTTAACTGTTTCATTTAATGGATCGAAATCAGCAATCAAAGAATTCAATTAATTTCAACAATACATTCAAATCCCACGTCAAATGTCATCCCTTATTGATAGCTCTGATTGTAGACAAAAATGTTCAAGGCTCTCTCGTTCTTCAGAATCACGTACAGTTTTGAAGGTCATCATTGGGCTTCCGAATTGCTAGCTTTCTTCGCAAACTCTGGGGTCCTAAATTACAAGGTCACTTATTTATTTTGAGTAATGTGCTATTTGTAATTAAACCACGTTTTAAGTTTCGAGCATTAACTAATTATTCCCTTGACTTAGATGGACGCATTTTCATAAAAGCGAATTCAAGTTTACGTACTGTGCGCGAAAACCTTCGTGGCAACTGAAAACAAGTTTTCTTTTAATATCAGCCCTCGGCGAAATATAGCTGACTTCCTTCAAATGTTGGCTTTGTTATCAAATTTGGTAATCAAAAAGGTTTTCCAAATTCAGTTCCTAGAAATTTTTGCTCAGAGTTACCATGAGTAAACTAAGTTTAGATAATGAACCCAAATGTGTACTGATATTATGGCAAATTGTTAATTCAGTATTTACTATTTACTATTGACTCGAAATTAAACGTTAAACATGTTAAAATTTTATCTGCTTTGACTCAGGTGTTTAGAACGACCTTTGAGAAACGAGACATTTTAACAAAACCGCTTTATTTTGGTTACGTAAAATCGACCAGATTCTTGTATCTATCGGACGACACAGGTTTCCGTCGCTGGCTTACGGCAATCGTTTTTTTTTTTTTTTTTTTTTTTNGTTTTTTTTTTTTTTTTTTTTTCTTGTTCGCTTTGTTTTACAAGTTAACTACTTAATAAACAAGGACAGTGATGAATAGGGTTGGTAATTGAAAGAAAAGGTGCGTGTTCGACTTACAAATGTATGTATTTTTGGCTTTTTGTTGACATTTCTCGATAACCTGTCTTGTGTTTTCACCGTGTTAGATGCTATCAGCCGGGAGCAATTAAGGAAGCAAGTAGTTTCATTTACTGAGTTTCAAAATCGTTGTAATAAAATGATAAAATCTGAACTAACTGGGAAAATGAAACTTTTTGGAGCCATTTTTGTTAAGTTGGTATTTTAATAGAATTGTCCAGAAGCTAACATAATTAACTTAATAAAAGCCGTTTATCTAAATGGTTTTCAATAGAAATACTATAATCATAAATAATTTCTTTTATACTTACTCTAATTAACTTCGTTCAACGTGCATCGTTATAGGCAATTCAGCTGAATTGTTTGTTCATCTTTGCCCACAACTCTCCGTCGTCACACCTTCTTCGACATCGAACAGTGCATACGAACAAATACATTTGAATTTTTGGTGCAACAGGTCAGATGCGAGAAAAAGACTTTATCGTTGGCAGTACAACGACGGCTTGTTCCATTAAAAATTGTTAAGCAGTTTAATTCAAATGAGTTGTAACGATTCAATTTTCAAATCAATTTGATTCACGCAGCTATCTTACGGTGAGACACCAAAACGTCTCACTCTGAAAAAAAAAAAAAAAAACGGTAGCCTTTCTAAAACATCGTGTGTTGTAGCTTCTTCTTGAATTGCGATTCTCATAACGCATTCATGAAGATGTCATTGAGGCAATCTGTACACCATCCATTTAACGTAACATTATAACAAGACAAGTCGAAGTATACCAAAGAATGATGGCGTTTTATGGATAAGTCACTAATCTGAAAAAGAAATCGAAGATCTTATCATTTGCCATCCATACTCGGTTAGGCACCTGACCGTTAACACACGTAAGCGTGGGTGTAAAGTACCTTTAGAACCTGAGGCAATCCTTCACTCTGTTTCTAATTCAATCCCGCAATTCTTCATAGACGGGTCAGGAAATCACAGGCCCTTTAGAAAGACAGCTTTTTGGACTTCTTTACTCCGTAGCCCAGTCGCTTCTAGTCCGCTTGCGAAGGCTTCACTAATCAACTGATTTATAAACAAAGATGGGAAGAAAACCAACATTTCGATTTGGAGGCAAAATTTTCAAAAACTTTCACTGCACGGGTTTTCATGTAATTGAAATAGATTTCTGTTTTAACAAACGTGACCATGACTGGGTTTTCGACAGAAGAATCCTGTTTTTACTAGTCTCTGCTGGATCCATCGCTGAATAAAGCAACAAAAGCTTTTGTCCAAGAGATCTTACAGTGACTTAAATGAAAAAAATGCTGTGTTTATCGCTAACAAAAAACTAAAACATTGCGCGGACAAAAGCGATCGATAATTAAGAAATCCGCTTGAAATCTGTACTACTAAATCCAAAGGTGCACTTCAAAATTTCTCCTCTGCACTTTACAACCTTGCCCCACGAAATATCGCAATATTCAGTGACAAAGCAGGCAAACGTACATTTGTTTTATACAAATATTTTGTAATTTACTGAGAACCGCACACAATTAATCAGTAATGTAACGTCAATGTGCGTCTCAATTAAATCGCTTTGTGTTTTGTTAACTCTGTATTTCCGCTATGGGCACTTCTCTTTATGGACGGTTTTAAAAACACGCATTGAGATGGTTAAAAAACAAGTGTCGAGGGTGGATATGCCTTTCAACATCTTGAAAAATCTATTATTTTTCCTCCGCAAACAAAAGTGTCGTTGAATGTTTCTAAACTTGCGTCCAGTTAAACAGTTAAGACAGATATCAGCTGTTAAGAAAAAAAATTCAAGAAAAATTTCAGTTTTTTCGCAACAACAGATCAAAATCTAATTGCTCTCGGAGGGCATTCGCAAAGTTTTCTCGCAGCGAAATAAAACTTAAAAGTACAATTTTTGTTTTAACTCGCTAGTAGTTTCCTGTGGGGACAAAAACTGGACAGTAAACGCTCCGGTTTTTTCAACAAACAAAAACCAGGCAATTGCATTCTAAACTGAATGTTCGTCCTTTTAATGGCGCGAGATAACACCCGCCTACTTTGAACGTTCACCTCAGAAGCACGAGCGCGCAAATAGAAATAAGTCAAACAACATAGCTAGCGTCTATTCAAAGAACGACAATATCATTTCGATAAGATATTAGTCTGAACAATAGAATTCGGTCATAGCAAAGACTATTGCGTTCAAAATAAACGTTAACATTTTTACCAATCATGTCCGTAAGTTGTTAGCATTCATTTCGTCTCCATGGTCCATTGGCTGGATGCATTAATCACAGAATGAATGCCCTCTGTTTTCAACAATAAGCTACACGAACCTGTAAATTATTTATCTAAGTGTCGCTGATTGGCTTGGAATTGGTTTAGCATTGTTTCGGGGTAATTTTAAGATGACCTCGGCTAGGCCGGGTGGCTTGAAACAGGAGAAAGTTATGCAAAACTTCACCTTTTTACACAAAGCTTCGTGCAACGAATTTTAACAAGATCCAGCTATAAACTCAGCTCTGCCTAAACCGACTGACAAAAAACAAAGCTTAGACAACTTTAATTCGAATGTTGTGTTTAAATAAACTTTTAACATATTCGAAATTTATAGCAAGGTAAATATTTTAATTTTGAACTCAAAGTTTAAACCGAAGTTAATCAATTTTTCATACGAGCTGATGCTAGTGTTTTATTACGTTAGTGCAATCCCCGTATGAATGTGGAATATAGGAAAGGAAAATAGATCATAATCGCTGTACACGAACATCCTAACGAGAACTCAGCATCCCAAACCACCGCCTGAAAAGTAACTAAGAAAGACCCTCCTCTTCTAAGCGTACTAAAAAGTAATTCACTATAAAAAAAAATATAAAATAAAGAGTCGAACCAAACATCTGCTTGTTAAGCTCGGCGGACGTTCTTCTCAGAAGCCTTTTTAACACTCTTGCTATGATCTCACGTTCACACTGGTGGAGTTTTAGAAGGATGTTATATGGGGGACACCTGAAAACTACAAAAACTCAGTTCCATCCAGTTTTTCAATATTTGATTTGCTTGTCTTATTCCGAAAATGGGTCGGGTTTTCATTTTCAATGATATTAGCAATTTTTAATGGCATTTTTTGCCCAATGTTTTTATCTTTTAACAGACTTAAATTTTTTGGCGCCGAGACATAAATATCACTATAGAGATCTTTATTTAAATTTTATCATTACGGCGGGCGATATTTGAAAATGAACTGCCATGCAATTTCATTTTTCGCAGCTCACATCTATTAACGGTTTTAATGATCTCAAGGACAAAGTGGGGACCATTTTAATAAATGAAATGATGCTCTTTTTAATTTCGCAAATTACAATGTCCATTAGCGGGAAAGCTAAAATTGTTGTGATTCATGACAGTCCATGTTTATTGATCATGTTTACCGAACCATCCCAATTTAGCTGTGAGCTATAGCTGAAAACCAAATCAAATTGAGTGCACGATTCTAAGCAATATTCATACTGATTAATTAAAACGCTGAAGCCCACACAGTTATGAGACAAGAAGCAGGCTTTTAAGCTGCCGAACTTCGCTCACATTCCTTCCATTATCATTATTTCCCGCGCTCGAAAAATGTTACAAGTACTTGTTCAAGGGTACAGGGAAGCAGAGAGGCGGCTTGTTTTACAGGAAGTGCGCGAAACAGTGTTAAGATATCTTATAACCGGTCGTTTTATCATTAGTAAAATTGTCTTATTATTCAAAGAACATTAGCATTGATATTGGTAGCCTTTATGTTAGATGAGTACAAATAACCTCGAAGGGGATTTCTTAGCCACGCGTGTGGCAGGTGCGCGGGATCTAGTTTTGGCGTTAGTAATGAAATTTACCATTGTATGCATTCAAACAGGGCTTATATTAATTTTCAATTTTCTCGAGCGTTGTGGCTAGGAGGGTGAGTTCTCTGCAGCTGTTCGGCTAAAAACAATTAGCGCCGAGGCCCTAATCAGCTCGGGCAGCTAATAAGTTCAAATAGAGCGAGTTGGAAGGATCATTTCTGCACTGAGCTCAATCTTCACACACGCATCTAAGGATCAAACGGACCCTGATCGAACCATGGAACAGTCTCTTGGCTTGGGAAAGCCACATAGCCAGTATGTAGTCAGTGATGTACTGGGAATAGAGACCTTGGCAACCTCATCTTCTAAGTGTAAGCACAATTTGTTTGTCCTCTTGTTGGAAATAATATTAATTTAGGGTTAGAAAGACTTAAACTTCTAACTGGGCATGTCAAAAAGAATTGGGTTTAACACTTCTGCCAAATTGTCTCAATAGTTCCTTCACTGGTGTACAGAAGCTATCAGTCTGCGTCGGCTGATCTGCCACCGCCTCCAGAGGGACAAGGACACATAGATGGTGAGAGCTCTGCCACAGTCAGGAGAAAACAACGTCGAAACCGCACCACATTTACAAAACAACAGCTACAGGAACTGGAGAAAGTTTTCGAGAAAAAGCATTATCCCGATATCGCTCTGAGGGAGGAACTCGCCGCCAAGATCAACATCAGCGAGGCGCGAATCCAGGTAATACAAAACAAAAACTTGTTTTCTTGTGCTTTACACGTAAAATTGGAAACTTTCAAATTTGTACAAGTTTCTGTTTTCTTCATGTTGAGTGTAGGAAAGAGATCTAAAATCCGATCTTTAAAAATCGTTATGTTACAAAAAACTAATGTATAAAATAATCGGGTGTGGTCGTTAGCGATAGCCGTGTGTAATAGTGGGGTCATAATTGTATTAGGACGCCGAGCAATATTATATTACTAGTGAAAATTGTGTGATCGACGATATACCTTCAAGCTTAGTGAATTTAGGCATAATTGAATTTCCTTTTTTCCACCTTTAAAAGTATGGAGATATTGCCAATAAGAGAACAGCACGAATGTATTCAAGGTATAAAGTTTCAGTGATGTTTTCTAGAAGCGCTGCTATTTAAAAAAGTCGAACGCAACTAACAATTGCAGGTTTCGATCTGCTGAATTTTACATTCATAAGGCCTTTTCGTTTGCTTTTTTGTCAACCGTTTTCTTTAAGCCGTACATTTCGCTGGCACATCTAAAAATTGTTGTATTAAAAAGCAGTCTAAAAAGTTGGAAGTAAATCGAAATACTTTATTTTGATAAAAGCCACAGTAATGGGGCTGAAAAAACGTAGATCAAGATTTCGTCACAAACTTTACGTTGCCGTTTTCAACCACCGCACAGGATCATCGAAGCTAAATTTTTCTTTGGAATTGTTATTTGCGAAGCAACATAAAGTGACGAGTTAGTCTATCGCTAAACTTTTAATCCTCAGTGGAAAATTTAAACAAATTTACATGACACGCGCAACAGCAGCGGCAAATTAATGATAACGAAAAACATTTAGTTCCTTACAATATCTCAATTTAAACTAGCTTTTTCACCGTTGTGGAAACTTCCTGTTGCCCTTCCCTTTGTAACGTTTTCGACCATTACTATAAACACATACAAGTTCCGATATTGAGATACACAATTAATAGCCAAAGCCATCAAGTTTATTTGTCTTCAACCATTTATAATTCTATCCACGTAAAGGCTTCCTCAAACTGACCTCCGATGCAATCTTTTATCCTTGAACTGACTATTCTGTGAGACTTCAGAGGTTTTAATTTTGGATTTGTGCACACGCTGTTAAATAGATTTTTGGAAATCCTTTTAGTGCGCGCCTTTTGTTGAAAGCCATTAAAATTAAGTTGTTTCTTTTAAGAAAAGTAGTGTAGAGAAGAGGTCGATCCTTTAATCAAATATGTCATTTCTTCTTAGGTTTGGTTCCAAAACAGGCGAGCTAAATGGCGAAAGAGACAAAATCCAACGCAGAGTTTGACAAAGAAAGTTCGCTATCAAAGCGATAAACTTGGACCGCACCTGCCTATAGCTCCCCGACCAGGCATTCCATGTGGACCGCCTAACTACTTCCTCGGTTTGTCGGGCGCAGTTCCTGTGAGTGCTCACCATCACACATATCCAGGGATTCTAACCTCTCTCAACGCTACAAACTCCAGTTACATGTCCTCATCGCAGATACCGATGCACAATGGCGCACTTTGGCCTTGTCAAAGTGCTGCGTTCTCAAGCCATACCGAACAACCCAAGATGGCGCTTGAAGCTCTAAGGATGAAAGCTAAGTCGCACGCTTCCTCGATGTCTGCGTTTGAATTTGTTCCGTCGTACCATTAGATGATTATTTAAGCCGCTCTGGCGAGCGAGAGAGTTACGAGAGAGCGAAAACCGTCCTCAGAGCTTAACTCGACGGAAGCTATTGTTAATAACAAATATTTGAAATTATCAAAAGATGAAGCAAGGCCACTGAAGAAAATATGAAAAACACTTAGAATGTTTTAGCTGGTTGTTCCTGTAAGGCCATTGTATAGATGTGTATGCTTTTTTATCTTAAAGACGAACTTTAAAATTAGAGAGACAACCAAGAAGACATTGGTGAATTTGCAGCCGTTTGTAGTCCATTAGGTATTTATATTATATAAAAAAAAGTAATATTGTAGAGCATTGTACCGCGATGTAAGTAGTCTGTTTGAAATTAAGGCGTGCGCTGTATAAAATAAGAATGCGCTTTTTTTAAGTTGTACTTTAACGCCTTTTTGCGCTATTAGCAAGTTTTCTTCAGAAAGACCGTAATGGCTAGATGATTAATGAAGTTGCGAATACTTTAAAGGCTTTTTGGCTTTGCTTTGGCTGCGTGGCCCGAGGTGCTAACTTATCAAAAGCAAGCACATTTTCAACTTGTAATTTCAGTAACTGTATTACATTGACATTCAAACAGTATTAACACGGTAGCGCGACACATATGAAAAATACGTCGATTACACATTTATATCGTAATGAGATGAGCGCAACGCTCAGAAACAATGCAGTAAAGATGAACACAGTTAACAAAAAATTTTAAGTTCCTTAGTAAAAACATTAAAGACTTCCATAAATTGGTTTATGTTGAATAAATAATTTGCTATCTTTAATACTGTACTGTGGACACAAAGTAAATACACGCATAGAAGCACTAGATCGACTTGCTCAAATTAAAGACCATGCAAAAGGTTTAGGGATATTAAATACTGCGTCCTGAATTAATCTGGGATGTTTACCTGAGAGTTTGTGACCATCGCTAAAACGTCATTTTTTTGCAACCACCTAACTTTTCGTGATTTTCGTCATAAATGGTTAACTGGCCGCGTGCGCGCAAAAGCAAATCATTCACAAGAATACTTCAAGGGAGAAGATTTGTTAGAAATGTAAGTTTCCATGGATGGCCAGAACATTGGAAGGCTATTATGAACGATACAGTGTAACATATGATAGCGCAGTATTTTCACCCCCCTCGTCTGGCTGGCGGCCGGTTGCTTACTCGACTTGCTATCGACTAAACGTCCAATTTATACCCTTCATTCCAACTATACGGTGGTTCTATTTATGTCTTTTTACGCGGTCGCTAGAAAATCGTTTACCATTTCTTGCCTAGCGCTGATTTTGAAGATCTTGTAAAATTTAACCATATCCTCTCCAAACCTTGTTAGTCGGGTATTTTTGATACGGAATCCTATATCGAAGAAGGTCTTACACCAATGTTTGATGATAACACTGTTTAGAATTCAAATAGCACAGAAATGTTAAAAACTAGCAACTTTTCGCAAGCAGTCCGCTCTGTTGTCTTTCTTTTACACCAAATAGTTGTTGAAGACCCTTCTGCGCTCAAATCAAGGTGGCTTAACCTGAAGATTACTTGTGTTATCTGAAACAGACTCCGTGTTGAATTTCTACAATATATGTCGACGGCGACATCATTTCTTTGATGTGACAGTGTCAAAAATGACTAAAATAGAGAAAAAAATACGGTAGGCCGCCTTATCAAAGCTACTACAGAGGTATCGGAAAAGGGAGAAAACCTGGCGAAACCGCAGGAAAAAAAAAGAAAACTGATAGAAAAATAAATAAATGAATAGACTTAACGAGGCAATATTTCCTTCAAGGTAGGGTTTGGTATTGCGATAATTTATGTTTTAGTCCTAAGCTTTTCGAAGTTCTTTTTATTCCTAATGAGTTGCAGCGTGTAAATGATTGTGTCTGGATAAATTTACAAATTTGCGTCGGTTAGCGCCTTAACTTTCTCCTTTGACTTTTAATACGTACAGGAGACTGTTTTCGAAACTTTAATAAAGGTCTTTTCAATGAGCTATCTCATCGTTTCAAAGGCTTTTTTGAAGACCGTTGTTTTCTAAACAACGTTTTGTGATAAATGCGAACGACAAATTACGCGAACACGATAAGTTATTTGCTATTGTGGCTCGTCTCATCAGCGATCGACATTAGCATAATTGCTTACCTAGCCTCCAGTTTTCTGATGAAGAGAATAAAATCGATTATGAAACCTTAGCATTCTCTCTCAGGCAAGAAAAACCACAAACGAACACTTGCAAAGACTTTCTTGTGTGGGCCTGAATTAAACGCTTCAAGGAAACGTCAGTCGAACCTAGAATTTGAAAGCTCAGAGAGTATTTGTGTAGAACAAGCGCAGGTGTCTTTTCTGATATACAATTTTTCTTTTACTATCGCCTATGGGTACTTTAAAACTTTCCCTAACGTACCATCACTTTAGCTCATTTTTACCTCTTTGATTGCATGAGTTTTCCACTGGATTTATTTTCTTCCCACTCGAGTTTATTCAACAAGACAAACCCCAAGACAGATTTCTCACCACGGCTAAAGCAGTTCAAAACCTCCGTTTGCCTTCAGAAGAAAACGTCCCGAGGTGTTTTGAATAAACAAGCCGTTATTACATGCGTCATAGTGATAGCGGTAACCTAAACAGAGAGAGAGACATGGTTCTTGATTAAACACGGAGAAAAACTTTCTTTGTTTGAAAGAGTAATAGAGGTCAAACAAAGAGGAGCGAAAACGCTTAAACTAACGGTTACTATGGAATTTTTTTAGGACTGATATTACAGAATTCAAACAAAGCATGGTCTAGGTAATCTTAAAGTGAGAACGGGAAAAAAACAAAATGAACTTAAACGACTCTTCCATCACTGGACTTTCATATTTGATTGGAATTGCGAGCAATTAATCGTTATGAAAAAGGAATCAAAAAATCATTTCTCCAGGACTCAGTATTTACAGAATAAAAGGCTAACGTGAATGTCGTTTAAGACCTCCTGTGTCGCTTGCTTTAAGTATAATTCATTTTTAATTAGAAGAGAAACGTCTAGTTTTTTGAATCTCTAATTATGACAAATAAGACTAGCGTCTCGCTGGCGACATTATGGGTGCAAAATAGAGAATTATTTTTTGTATATATCTAATTGCTTTTCTTGCCTCTATCGTTTTAGTGAGAGTCTTCTGTTTCTAATCTTTTATATTTGTTTCAATTGCTCTCAACTCTTGAACATTTGTGGCCGTGTCTCGAGTCTACTTGCACAAATAAAGCGGAATTTGACGAGTCTTAGTTCAGTGCTAAAAGACTGCTTCAACTCTTTTCCTGTTCAGTCGGCGTTCACTGAGTAGCGAGGCACGCAACTGCACGTTAACCTAGTTTCTTTGGTAATAGTATAAATGAGGCGCTAATGACAAGGAAAATGAAGTTTGGCTGGTAAAGGCATTATAAGATCTCAACTGGAAAGACAAAAAAGTTTTAAAAGAAAACATCTCCATAACTGCTTAATCAACATTTCAGTTCTCAACCAGTGTCCAGGTGTTTCTTTTACGACTGAGAAATGCAATTTTCGAGTGGTTTTAGTGATCTGCTAAATTATCATATGGAACGGGAACAGCACTATCGGTCGACATGGACTGAATGAAAGAAAAAAACAGCGGCAATTAGATTTTGAAACACCTTCAGTTGTTCGTGTAAAAAGGTTGAATTCAGTCGGCATTCGCGATTGATTTACGGTCATAAAGAATGACAACGAAAAATAAAACTTTTATGCATTCAGGCTAGCTGTTTTCGCATTTTTTGTTTTTCAATGACCTCTTTTAATCTCTTTCCTTTTACAGCTCTCTTTTCTCTTCGTCTTTTCATTTCCGCTCTCGTGTAAAAAAACCAACTTATATCATGACTCATCCTTTCTGAGATGGTCGAGTATACCTTTAAGGTTATCCCCTTGGTCGAATAAGATCTTTCCCAATGAAGCATTAATGGTGTTTATACCCAAATAAAACTGTCTGTTTCGTGTCAAGGTACAACTACAGTTCTCTATTGTAAACAAAACAGACAAACGGACTTCAACCGAAATACAGGTCGGTAGGCATGCTGTCAGTACTAAGCAGATCGGCTTGGAAGCTATCTGACAGTGGAGGGAAAAGCCTTGCTAGGAAAGAAGTTTTTCGTGTCTAGATGGCCACGGAAAACTATTAAATTCTCAATTAAATTGTCAGTCATTTTATTCAGCGTAAACGCTTTTTATCACTCAAGATAACGAAGCAAAAACACTAACCGCATTAGCTTTGAATGCAGGCTTACGTTAAGGCAATTTTACAGAGAACAAACTCGACCCTGCCCTTGATCTCCGATCATTATCGGTACATTCCACATTTTGTTATCAGTATCGATCAAGTCCTTTGCCAATTCCAACGCCTTTCACTCCAAATCATATGCAAAACGGGATCGGAGCTATAGTTATGTCATTTGAAATATTTATTCAGAACACAATATCATAATATTAGCATGTGCCGGTGACTAACTACCACCTGGATAAAAGAAAAAAAAGAAAAAAAAAAACATGTCAGGTCAGCCGGCGGAAATTGTTTATATTAGAACAAATGTCGCGTCTCTTTATAAATGGCATGCTTTTAAAACAGGGGCTGGCAGGTTTAAGAGAATTTATTCAGAGTTCGATTAAGCACCATTATCTCTTTAGTTTTGACTGCGTATACGGTTTGGACTAGGAGGCAAAAAGAGCACAAAAAAGAACGAAACGTGTTGCGACGATCCTGAAATAACGTTATTCTCAAACTGTAAATAAGACAGGAAACTGAATTTAAGGATGAAACGCAGAACTCAAGTTATGGTCGAAACAAGTAATTTATAACGCGTTCTCAATTACTCGATACGGTGCCATAGATGAATGCACAACTTCCTTTTATGACTCACATTTGAAAACAAGGGCGTGAATCTGCAGAATCTGTAGCACAAAATGATAAAGATAATTTACATATATGTTTATAAGTGCTTAACTTGTTCGCTCTACCTTACTCAACTTCTAATGAGAATTAAACACCTCTGTCAGGTAATTATTTAAACCTTGCATTTACCCGCTGGGCATGCTGATTACTCATTACGTCTCATTTCAAGGTCGCATTTGATTCTTTGTAGCTTATTTAAAGACTCGTGAATTTTAATTTTCCCTGTCAGGCTATAGTCCATACAAATTCCCCGCCAAAGATACGATGCAGATTAGGGTTTCAGTCTCAAAGAGTGCCAAAAAAGACTTAATGTGCTTATTAATCGGAAATTAACAACATAGAAATACCACTGAAAAAGATATTCTTGTTTCAGATCACATATATAAGTGTTCTTTACTAAAGCAATGACACTTGGCCATTGTATGTTTGATCTGTATAAGAAAAACAAGATACAAGCCGACGTAATCAGAAAGGACGTGGCATAAATATAGACTTGCCACAAGTTCACCTCATGAGTTTCAGGGACCTGGTGAAATAGATAAGCGAGCGAAGCGAGCTGCGAAGTTTTAGGGCGAGAAGCTGCCGAGCGACCGACGAAGTCGAAAATAAACAAGGCGAAGGGCTTTTCTGAAAGTCTAGCAAAAGTACTGAGCACATGGTATTGGAAACTGACCGAAAAAAAAAAAATTAAACACAACAAAATAACCGAATTTTACATAGATCTTGGAGACACATGGACCAATATTTTCAACAAAATTCAAAGCTGACTTACTGGACTAAGGACCTGATTCATATACACTTAGACATATAATTTTAGCGCACGAGGGATGAAGATGTGAAGGAGGGAAAGGTAATTTGTCTGTCTCATTCTCAATGTCCTGCTAAGGAGTCTTGTGATATTCAAAGAAATAATAAAGGTATCTTCTGAAGAGCGCAATTAATACTTTCATTTGAAGCATGATCAGCATCAGAGCGAAAACAAGTGGTGTCACTAGACATTCACCTCGATATTTCATCGACAGAATAGCATCGAAATAACTCCAAAGAAATAACTCAGAGTTAAATAGGTCTTTTCCGAGTTGCTTTTACCTCAGTTTCAAAACGAGTCTTGGTGCACAACCTTTCACATGGAAATGAGATTTTCTTGCGCCTTCATTATCTTGCAAATCAAACTCATTTCCATTGAAAGGTTGTTCACCAGAACTCGTTTCGAAACAGAGGGGAAAAAGCACCTCGAAAATGGCCTATTAACTCCACGACTAAAAAATGACTGCAGTTTTGGAGTTGACATACCTCCCTACAATTTTTCTTTTGCAGGGAGGTATGTAGCAAATAGGTGAAACGTTGAAAACGAGAGGATTCTGAATTTTTGGGCGCGTGATCACATCGACCCCTTTCCGAGTTCTTCCAAGCATCGTAGAATTCACAATCTTCGGAATTAATTCCACAATGTTCCGGGAGCCTTGCATACCGGAGGGAGACAGAGAGAGTTCAGAAATGACATTTAAGCTAAACGGAAAAAGGCAAACGGCAAAAGGCAAAAGGCAAAAATTGCCTCTGGTTTTGTTTTCCTTTTTTTCAAAATAACAAAGAAGTGTTTTCACATGACGTCATGGCAGCCATATTGGTGTCGCAAAACAATGAAACGGAGACCATGTTGGTGTCCCAGACAAATCCTATGCGTTTTCACTCAGTTTCCAATAAATTTACCTTCGATAATTGTCCCTCTTTCCACAATTGTGATAAATTCAGTTTAAACATAAGACAAAGAAGGAAAAAGACACTGTTCACTTCGGATCCAGCTTCCCGGCTTCACATCACAGCAAACCTGCTAGTTTTCGATTGTTTTCGACCGTTTTCGACCAATCGAAAAAACAAAGAAAGCATCAACAATATTACATTTATAGTTCCAACAAAATCTCTTCTTCTCCTAAATACCACTCGGCACAGATTAAATTTAAATAGAATGCGGAGACTCCTTTAGGCTGATCAAGCGTTGAATCAGTTTAAGTTCCAGTTAAAACTAAGGTTCTTTACAAACTGTTGAGAAATCTCAGCGATGGGAAAATGACGAGCTGGTTTCAGCTGGTTGGGAAATTAAATCGGATTTATAGACAATGATGGACTCTGGTAACCGTGGAATATCGACTGATGTAAGGCACTTTGAGCAAACATCAGGAACGCTTGTCCCAAAGTTCGGGATCGTGGTTTGTTTCATCAAAGAGTATAAAGAATAGAAAATGCCGAGAAATTTTACGGCTGAAGTCAATTAAGCATTTTTCTCAAACTTAATACAACGTTCATATAAGACCTACAGTACGACTGCTCTAACCAAGGCCACCCTACAAAATTTTCCACAAATTTAATGAATAAAAATCTTCGAGGTTAACAAAAGTTTTCTGACAAATTGTCCATGTAATCAAGCTTACATTACAAAGGCAACAGATTCGTGGTCAGTTTGGATAATTTTTTGGAAAGCTAAAGTTAACCTCCACGATTTTTATTTGTTAAATTTGTAGAAAATTTTGTCAGGTGGCCTTGGTTGAAGTTGCATGAGCTCAAGTCAACCCCCCAAAATTCCGTAATTTAATGTACTCAGTGAATGACAGAGGAAAGTTTTCCCAAAGTTCGCAGTAAGACTTAAGAGGATAAGAAATTATGACTCAAAGGTTGTTATTAGAGACGAGGGGGCCTAGAATAACAATGAAGCCACCCATGAGCTATTTCATCCAATGCCCCATTTCAGTCACACTGGCACACGTGTACAGAAAACTTACAAAAAAGGCAAGTTTGTCACTTAATTTCGACTAAATATGAGCTTAAGCTGCTTACTGCGACAAAGGAGCTTAAAGATTTTAACGTTACCGTTTCCAGTTCCGATTCCTCCACCTGCTTTGCGGATAGCCAAAAGTTTACAATGTTAACCGCTTCCGCTGTAATGTACAAAGGTACAATGATATCCAAAGCTGTTTTCTTCACCGTTCTTTGGTTACGGTTACTGTTAGCGAATTCCTCGACGTCTGCATAAAGGTTTGCCTGTCTTATATTAGGTTTACTGTGGCTCTTAACTGTAGAGTCGAAATTGGAGAGAATAATCCTTTTTTGAACATTTCCCCGCAATATTTGCACAGAGCAGAGGTGAAAGGAAAACACCGGGCGCGCGCTGCTGGCTGTTTTGGCGGGAAAAAATAGGCCGCAATGAACGCCGGGAGTTTTCGTGATAGGCCGCGTTCTTCAAATACAGTAATTCCGAATTTTTCAAAGGCCCTTTTCGAGGGTCTTATTTTTTGGAGGCTTATGTTCGAAGGGGCTTATCTACGGAGGGAAATTTGCGTCTCAAGCTTATAGTTGGAGGGAAATCTATGTCAGTAATTTGCACGAAGTTTTTCCTGAAACTCGCCCTGAGGAAACTTAAAACAACCGCAAACTACTTCATTGAAAACGCAATGCTCAGTTCAAAGGTAAGGTAACATCAATAAACAGGTGCGAAACACCTGGTACTGTTCACATAAAAAGAAGATTGTGATACTGTACCGTTTTGCTTTCTTTTATTTTGTATTTGAGGGCAATTTCCGAGTATAAGCCCCTGGGGGCTTTATATTCGGTGGGGTGATTTAACGAGGATCTTTTGCGTCACGAGTTTGGGGGCTTATATTTGGAGGGGCTTATACATGGAGGGGCTTATTTTCGGAATTTTACGGCATACCCCTTTGTCAAATGTACCGCCCTGCCCGGCTTACGGTCACCTCGTTATTACGTTCAGTTTATTTTTGTCCCGGTGAAACGCCCATACATTTTCTCATAAGAAAATCCCGTTAATGCGGCCACCCTGTTAATAAGGCCTACGGCCACATTCTGAAATCTCGACCTGTATAGTCTCTTACAATTGTTCCCCGTTTACACGGCCACTCAAACCAGTTGCGTTCGTTTTTCCACTGTTGATATTGTATGTAGTGACTAAAGTTTCAATTTTTTAAAAAATTATATCTGTATTCCCGACGCTTAATTTTTTTTTAATTTTTTAAAATTTTTTATATATTTTTCTCGGAATATTAGCATGACTGTATTGCTAGGGGCCTAATCCGCCTCATCAACCCGAGTTGAAATAAAGTTACTTACTTACTGACCAGTCATGAAATTTGACCTTACCCCGTTAATTATTACGGCCCGTTGGTTCCAATGTACTTTACCAAAACGTTAAATACGTTATGAGAAATTGAAAAGTATTGTCAAAATCATTATGACGTGACGAGAACTAAAAAAGCTGCCGCTGACAAACGTTATATTTGATGTTTTGTTCGAGGCAACGTCAGGCTCATTTAGAGATCTGACTTTAATATGACGTATTGTGATAAACTATCTTAAGCGAGGGCATGTATCGTGCTGTTTGGCTCACGATTAAAAAGTTCAGTGATGGGAAATACTTACGTGACTGAGTGTGTGCTACTGTTCTCAAGTGCGTGCCCTGTCTTAGCGCGGTTTCGAGTAGCTAAAAATGGTGTCAGTTGTCAGGTAAGTTGCGCAGATTCCCAAGTCGACGTTAGCGAAAACTTTGGATTAGAAAATAGGGCTCATCTTAGTATAGCGGTTCATTTGACAATGGAAAAGAGAAACTTTTTTACAATGTAAGAAAAAACCCAACATTTACTTTTATCACAAATATAAACTTTACAAGAGCAAGCCCTCTAGTATTACTGTCACTATTACTGATTAACAGAGGTCGGAAAAGAAAAGCTTGTGGTACGAAAAACTTCAAAGATTGCACTCCAGTCTAATTTCAGATATTCCAGAAATCACAATCAGGGCTTGTTTAGACTTAGGCTTATTTAGCACTACCTCCACAAACACATTCGTTAACACTTCATGTGATACAACTTTTAGGTGACGTGGAACACAGACTTTGGATGACTGAACTTTCATTTCTCACCACAGGAATACCAGGCCACTGACTCAACACATATGAAATTCTCGTGGCCCTATTAGTCCTACTAGGAGTTTTCGGGATACATGGGATATTTGGATCAGATAAAACGGGATATCGAGTAAGAAAATCGTCAATTTTTGCAATAGGAATTAGCGAGATCCGGGGTATTTAGGCTAAAAGTAAGGAGATGTGGGATACTCATATCCCCCCTCCTTAATGGGGCCTCATTCTCCTCCATAGCTGTCGTTTTGGTCGTCTTTTCTTCCTTTAAAAAGGAAACGTTGCGTGACGTCCCAAATAACTGCTACGAAGGAATATAGCACTCTTTATCAATTGTGGACATGTTTCAGATTATACTGGTGATGGCTTATTTACAAATTCAAGGCTCAAGACAAAGCCAGTGCAACCGGTTGTTTATAACTGTTATTGAGTAATTTTATGCCATATCTTCCGTCAGCAGTTCAAGAGCATTGGTGATGTCTTCGGTTGTGGCATGACACAAAAATCGATACAGGACCTATTGAAGCAAAGAAACTTGATCAATGATTGATATCTCCTTACATTACTAGCTCGTTGTCAAGAACACACAGCATTGTCATGCAGCTCAACAAGATCGTTAGAAACTGATATGATCTGATATCTTTGTTGTAAATACTGATACATAATCAACTGACCTCATTCTCAAGAGTCCACTCTCCTTTGTGAACTACCATCTGAACTGAAAGACCAACAAGCCACCTGTGGGTAAAGACGATGTTAGTGAAGAAGAAGACACAGTTACTGTTAGTGTAAGCAGGAGCCATAATGCCGAGTGCCATTCTGTGGCAGGTGCAAAGTGCCACAAGCCAACAAGTCTTGAAAGTACAAACATTCAGTCTAAGAAAAGCACTGGAAAAATAGTGTGACACAAATTAGGCTTAGTTTTTTTTGGGATACATATATGTAGTTGAAAAGATAACATCTACATTTACATTACCTGAATGGTTAAAACAATTATATCTACAGGTTGTGGAGACCTGACTTTTTTAAAAGGAGCCATAAGGTTTTCATTCTTGAATCAATGGCTCACCTGTCGATGTCAATAACAGACACATGTTTGCTGTGGAGCCAGGCAGTTGGGGCCCACAACACTAAGGTCAGCATGTTGACTGCTATGTCAGCGGTTATTCGCTCAGAGGGGTCTCTTCTCAGAAGCAGGGACACAACTTTCCTCACTCCCACTGGGGCCCTGACAAACACGGAAAATACAGAAGTACATGCACATGTGCTGTTTCAAAACAAAGCTGCTTTATGTATAGTTAACATAAAGATTGCGATTCAGTGGATAACTTTGGGTTATGTTTAAGGATACTTAATCATACTGTTTGAGAAGAAATAGATATTTACTAGTTCTCTTGTTCCAGCATGGACCTGGGGGTACTTCCTATAATGGCCTATATGGGAAGGCTCCCCCTGAAATGGGGACCGTTTTCAGGCTTCAGGTATATACAAGGGTAGTGATTTCACAAGTTGGGTAGAGGGAAATCTGTCATTTAGTTACTTTAAGAGCTCTTGACGCACCTTATGGCTGTACGATTTCTTTTATTAGGCGCACTACATGAAAATGAGTAGAAGACTCCTTTTTTGGTGATTTATTCATTATACAGGCCAGTTATGAAAGTATGTGAAACGAGTACCTTTTTTCAATTAAAAGTATATGAAAGGGGTACCTTTTCTGTCAAGATGGTATACAAAAGGGGTATGGGGTTGGACCTCGGGGTCAAGCCTCCCCATATAGAACTTTATAGAGTACCCCCTGGGCATGGAATGCAGAAAGCAAGGGAATTCATTCTGGGGTGAAGTTGAAAGCCAGCACTGCAACAAATGACTAAGATATTGTGTTGAATAAATTTACTGTCTTGCTGTCACTGTCTTGTCACGAGTATAGCCCGCCCTCCCACCCTCTTTCAGATATGTTCCTTTAATCTGTTCCTGTTTATCCATTGCCTGATACTGCCTTTGTTTTCATTTATTTCCAGGTGGCAGAGATGCTTACATGGATTGCACACGATGCTTCAGATGCTTTAAGTTCGGCCACTGGGCTAGAGATGTACCTGTTTTTGTAGATATTTAAGTGGTAAATAATTTTTGTTCGTTTGAATGTAGTGAATTAGTTATTGAGATGTGTCACAGGTTTCCACTTAGAGTAGGTTACTCACACATCAAGTCTCTATTTCTGAAGAGTTGTTTTAGGGCATATTACCTGTACATAATATATATTTTTATTTATCACTGTCATTTCTTTATGATTTTTGAATAAGGCTGGTATGTTCTGGTATGTATGATTTGATTTGTGTTTTAGGCAAAGGGAAAGCAGTGTTTTCATGGTTGGTCCTGGATCTATTTGTCTTACTTGGCAAGCAGAGGTAGCTGTTCATTGTGGTATGTTCTGCTATGCAATCTGTCCCAGCCAAATGGATTTACACCACCAAACAGTTCATAAGCAATGGCTCCAGCTGCCCAGGCTACAAAATAAAGGAGAGGAAAAGATACATGCAGATTAAAGCATCTACCTAGTTGTAGCTGCCCATTTCAGACCCAGTATCACGTAGTGGTTGGAGACCACTAGTGTGGTATGCCAGACCACAGCCAGTGCCACACCCAAAGAGCTATAGAGAAATGATACCTACAACTGTACCTGGTAGTGATGGATGAGACAAGGCAAAAAATACAAACATGACTTCTCAATGATTCAACCTCATTCTAAAGAACATAGAGTGCATGTACACCTTAAGAGAGGGCCCTTAAACTGGAGTTACTACTAGACAGTTTAATTGACTATTAATGTTGTGGACTGTTAAGTTTACTTTTGTGGAGGGCTGCTCAAGCCATATTTTCTCACTTTGGTAAGAGTTCTGGGAGGACATGAAACAGCTGTGGTAGCAATGGCAACCCCTTGTTGTCTCCCTTCCACTGGTTTTCAATTTTTTGCAACAAAAATTTAGTTCTCAGTACGTAGCACTCACTCCCCACAATACAACACTTACCGTCAGAATTGGTGTAATCCAGAACAGAACCCTGACCAGGAGTGGCGCAAGCAATCTACAAAATTATTAGTAATTTTGTAAAAATACATCAGATTAAGTGAAAGAAATTATTGACTATATTCTTAGCAATAAGGGATTAACAAATATTTGAACATATAAATAGACATGTAGCATGGAAATGGGTAAGTAGAGGTTGGGTTCTCTTTGACAGGAATATGTTCCTTTTTTTCTCTTTTGATGTTTAAACTCGCAGTGTATTTTCAGGAAAACGTTGTATGAAAATTATAAAAGTATGAGATTATAATGGGTGACAGTGCTGTTGATTTAGGTAAGACCATAATACTGTAGTTCTCAGAATTGAAAATGCATATTTAATAAATGTCCTATTCAGACTGTAAATTATATAATTATATAGGTCCCACAAGTCATCATCATCAGTCCTTACTGCACCATTGGACGCATAAGGCCTTAGGTCCCACATGCAAAGTGACAAATGATCATTCAGCAAGATGAAACATTTCTAGCAGAGCAGTTTCTGATAATTAATGCACAATGTAAAATGATACGAAATTTTATAATCCTGTATAGTACAAGGTTAACATGTGACTGTGCTGCAATCTTGGACACTTGGCACTTTATTCTCACAGTACCTCTTTCTACTCAGTGGTAAATTTTACAATTGATGGGGCAACCTGACAGAATGCTAGGGAATAACACGTAATGGACTAGCATCTCATCCAAGGGAAGTAGCAATATTCTGACATGTAGCTACTTTGTGTTATAGGAGTTAAGTGCCAGACTTACAAGCGACCAGGCTTTAAGGCTTTACTGTACTATACCATGTTGTTCCATACCTCAGGAGCCATAAGGTTGCAGTTGCCTCCCCGATCAATCTCTGCTGTGTAGAATGGAAGCACCAGCCCCCACTCTCTGTCTGCCAGACAGCAACCAAAATCAGCTATCACAAGCCGAGGACACAAGCCGCTGGTGCTCTCATCCAGAAGTAAGTTATCAGTCTTGAGGTCTCTGTGTGCAACCCCATGTCTTACTAGATGTGCAATACCTTCTAGAAGCTGAAGCAGAAGCAGGGTGGATACTCGTGGGTCTAAGGCTCCGCTTGATGCTATGTATTCTTGGACTGTTCTGCTATACCTGTAGAAAACAGCAAATTGAAGTGTCAAAAGATATTATTTTAGCCGTATGGGATCTGATGAGCAGAGATGGCACAGTGGTGAGAGCAATCGCCCTCCACCAATGTGGCCTAGTTTCAATTCTAGCCTGGTACTATATGTGGATTGAGTTTGTTGTTGGTTGTCCCTTAGCTCTTTGCATTTTTCTCTAGATCTTCATGTTTCCCTTCCTCCTGAAAGACCAACATTTCCAAATTCCAATCCAACCTGGATAGAGGACCCGAATGAAAACCAGCAACATGTAGGGCTGATATGAGTTTCTCTAGATGAATATTGTAATTTATTTTCTTACTATTGATCCCAGACATCTGTTGAAATGGCATTTTTTTCAGGCCTTTGCTTGCACCATTGGTTTCATTCACATATGATTCAAAAATAGCAATCTTGTGATGACGAATTTCATGGTCATGTGATGAGTGAATCTCTGCTATCGGGAAAGTTGCTTCACAGTTTGTTTTCAAGTTTGTCATGTTTCGCACTTTCTAGAAAGATACAATAAGAAATGTTACAGAGAAGAGTTTGACTGATGCAAAATCCATCGGATGGATAAGATTTACCTCAAACTTGGTATTTGTGAGGCATTTGCAACAGCTGTACTGCAAACTGTGGTCACCTTCATCAAGAGATGCTTGTCATCATGTGATCACTTCTTTAAATCATGTGAATGAAACCAACGGTGCATGAAACGGCCTGAAAAAAAGCCATTTCAACAGATGTCTAGGATCAATAGTATAGTACGTGCCCTCTGTATACTCCGTTGCTAGGTACCAACCTTGGCATAACTAAAAACATTGTGCGATTCCTGGCAAAGCCTCCATTGTTGAAAGGTAAAGCTGCTGGATAGCTGGTCAAGGCATCGGGCAGGCAAGGAATGTTGTCAGCAAATACATGAAGAACTGGCATGACGTTTGGATGGGGTGGTATGCTTGTGTATGATGGACCTGTAGAATCATTGATTTGCTCTTGTTGTTAATTAAATCCCGCTCAATGAGTCCTTGTTGAAGAAATATCCAGGTCTTGTTAATTCAAGAAAAGGGCAGTAAAATTTTTTTACCTTTTGTCAATAGTTATCTACTATACAGAGCTCAACAAATAACCCCTTCAGGAATTGAGTTACATTGTGTCATGTTATTGCTTTAATGAGAACAAAACCTCAGTAAGTGAATGAAAGGTTTCATATAATAAATTTTTAATACCTGCTTCAGAAGTGTTTTGTTGCTTCTCCACAGAAAGAACCTGATACTCTTTTGCAAACTCCTGAAGAAAAGGAAAAAGTTCCAAATTCATTTTAAGTCAACCATTGATAAATCCATTATTATGCCATGTAAGTATCATAGTGCTTCTGCAAAACAAAATTAATATCAATAACTAGCCTTTTGTAAAATTAACAACTGGGCAGTGCAAAATGCAAACTGCACACTGTAGACTGGGGGTAAAATGCAGACTACAGACTACAAACTTCTTAAGTATTTATTGTGTTATTTCTATTATGGAGTGTTGATCATATACAAGATTATTCAGGCTAATTGCAGTGAACATCTGCGCCCCAGTCCGCAGTCTGTGTTTTTACCCTGATAGAATTAATAACAAAGATGACTCACTCTGTGCAGTGTACTGCTCTGAGATCTTGCTCCAAAGTTAAATAACATCTTCACAGCATACTGTTTTGAAAGAGAACATAGAATATAAATAATCTTATTGATTTAAATACATGTTACAGTATATGTATGGCATTCGCATTATGCATAAATACAGGGAAGTCCAAAAACAACAGTAATGAAGTACATATAGATATGTCTTTTCTTAGCAGCTGTGTTTCAATTGACATTTTGTGATAGTAATTGATAGAAGAGTGTCACAACTGAAGCATTAAATAACCAATCAATGGAAAAAAAATTAAACATAGGTGATTCGTGATCAGGTAATAATAATAATAATAATAATAATAATAATAATAATACATCAACTGGTTATCACTGTGCACACAAAAATTATTACAACAACAATATTTATGTCTGAGTTTGGTAGTTATCATAACTTGGTTAAATTTCTCACTAATCATGTAGTTACTTGAGAATGTGCAGCAACAAAATGTTACAAAATGTACCTAGTGTAAATACTCGCTTTGCATCTAGATCTACTTTCTATCTTCCAAAAATTCGAACAAATTATGGCAAATTTAATATTCGATTTAATGGACCTAAATTATG